CTGTTTATCAGGATTTTGATGTATACTTGCTTGACGATCCTCTTTCAGCGGTGGACGCTCATGTTGGGAGGCATATATATGAGAATGTAAGCTCTATATTTACTTTGCTGATTGAGGAAAGCTAAATAGGATGAGTAGAACTTGTCTTGAGATTTTTCTTGGTAAAGTCGCCTATAGATCGCTTCTCGAAAATCCAGTATTTGTACATTTTTTCTTTTGTATCTTTTAGACATTATCCATTGTCAAGGAGGCATGTGTCCTTCTTTCGGTCCTTACGACTATTTTTTGAACATGATGTGATCTGGGTCAAAGCTTTTGCAACACAAATGACTCTGGATTACGAAATATTCTGGTTCACACTTCTCCATAAAACAACATTTTAAGTAAATTCCGCCGTAGTGATACTTTAAAATTCTAATTTCTTATGAAGTCCTGACTTCTGGCAAGAAAATTGACAAGGGAAACTATACAGACAAAAACCTGTAAATGTAATATTTATTGTTTAACAGAATCGGTGGACACATCATGATAGCTAAGTAATAGACGTCCTATCGTCCTCACTCTCGACGGACGTATATCTCATAATTCGAAAACGTTCGGATGCATTAAAAGAAACTTCATACGATTTATCTCTTAACACGAAATACTTCAATTAGAAAACGTTACATGACAGCAATAGGAAATAAACACAAATAACAGGAAGTTAGCCACAAAGTGAGCCGGCTTGGATATCGTTGGTTACTCTCTGTACGTGGCTTTTCGTGAACCGGCTCCTCCCCTCCTTATGAGGCTACGCGTGTTGTTATCGAAGTTATGATCTATGAGTAAAGAGCATGAGAAACGGTCTTCTCACAATATACAATATAGAGAATTAGTAAAAACAAATAAATGTAAGAGGGCGACTTACTATCCTATATGCAAATATCATTACACCTTCTTCCTTGAGCAAGATTCCGCCTCGGACTCAGTTGAATTGCTGGGCGGATCCGGTCATTGAGGAAATTTAGGTCCGTGACCACCAACTCTCTGGCACCAGCGGACGACTGCTAACCAGGTTTCGACCTCCTGCAAGAATTTTAGTGATGCATCGATGAACAGGCCCTCCTTATTCGAAAGGGCTACGTTGAGCTTAGCGTCCGAGAAAATCGTGGATCTTGATTGCTCTATTTGTGTCCTCGTAGTACATAATATGACTACAGAACGCTCTTACCCTTGTGCGCTGTCTACTGTGCCCACCATTACGCCAGTTTCCTGCAGTATTGATTGAGGCAGATAGCTAATATCGTGCGGGTTAACGCCTGTACCAAGAGCAGACGTACCAGAACCAATATCGCTTTGGTCTCTACTGTAATTGATTGTACAGAGTGGCACATTTAGATGCCACTGGAACCAGAATATTTGGCATCTGTGCCCTAGATAATAGTTCTTGGCATTACCGATGAAATTCACATACCAACTGTCCGTCGTAAGTTTCAGACGCATCTTTCGGAATGAG